TTGATAGCTATGCCAATTTGTCCACCCAAAAGGCTGTTCAAATTTCCATTCTTGCCAATAGGTGATGAGGTTTGGGCTAGACCTTTGGGGGGAAAATCAGAATCTTCAAATTATTGGCAATTATATATGTATGAATCCATCCTGTGTTCAGAATGATTAATAAATCTTTCCAGTAACACACATTTCTCTATACACACGATATGTGATTCTTCATCAAAGCATAAAATTTTAGAACTGAAAGGGACCTGAAACGATCCTTGTTGTCCAAGTTATGCTTTGCCTGTGTATAAGGAAAAAAAAAACACGCCAAATTTTGGAACATAATAGCTCATGCCATTAACAATCTCTGACAGTAGCTCTAAAAGCACAAAATAGTTAAATAAGTTACTGAATAAATCCTGTTTGTATCATCTGCAGGGCATGAAGTACTCACACCACAGAGAGTTTACTCATGGGAGGCTGAAATCTTGGAACTGTGTGGTAGATGGGCATTTTGTACTAAAAGTGACATGTTACGGCCTTAATGACATCCTGGAAACACTAAGACTTTCCCAAGAGGAACCTTCTGCTGAAGGTAAGCAATGTATTTTATCCTTCTGATGCACACAAGGTAACTCCAAAGTTCAAATGAGAATATGCACTGAATTAAAGCTTCAGGCTGATTCAACTCCCCACTTTTGTTGAAAATCTAGCCTCATTTCCAAGCCAAAGGAGTTGAATGAAATCTGCAGGCTGTAATCTCTGCACAGCCTAACTTTCAGAACAAAGCCTGTGCAATAATGTTGAGTTTCTGCTGTAGTAGGATTATGCTGCATTGTTTGTTGACTCCAGGACTCCCTGGAGAAACTTACTGAGCACTAGACACACAGTAGGTGCTAAATAACTACTTGTCAGATTGAATGGAAGGTAATTTGGTAGCAGGACCCCCACACAGCACATTCTGGAATAAGATGTCATTACAGCCTACCCTCACTGTCTCTGTCAGAGAGAAAGATGCAAGGAGGGGGTCCCTAATAAGTAAATGTTTTATGGGTTGTGTGGGATGGTTTCAGACTGAACTATGGCACGCTACTTAGTGAGTACGCATGCCTGAATGTCTAATTTGTGTTTTTGTCTTCTATTTAGTGCACTAGTGGCAGCACCAAACAGTTACCGTAGGGATCATAACAGATCAAATAGGAGAAATCTGAGATGGGGAGTGGGAGTGGGTGAGTAAGAACTAAGGGGAAATGAGTTGATGGAAGAAAGCAAAAGAGTGAGAAGGAAAAACAATGGACAGGGTTAAATACATATAGGAAACTTGGGAATTAAAAGTTTTAACCAGTAATACAAGGGCAAAGAAGAGAGAGAGTGACACAAAAAACACAGACAACCTAAAAGACAGAAGGCGAGATACAAAATTATAACATATACTCATANTCCCTTTTGCCGTATAACACAATCACAGGAGTAACAGTATGGTCTGAGGGGCAAAATCCTGCTTACCACAGCCACCAGTCATAAGAAGGGTGAAGTGAAGAGTAAGTGCCCTAAACTCTGGTCCCCAATTGAGACAGGACAGCTGTGACTTTCCTCTTTCCCTCCCCAGATGAAGGACTTGCCTCATGGGAATATTAACACTTTATGGGCTTTTTCTATGATTCAGAGATGTCTGCCATTGTGACAGAATTCTGTTCCCAAAGGAGCCTAGAAGACATACTGACAAATCAGGATGTGAAACTCGACTGCATGTTTAAGTCATCACTCCTGCTGGATCTCGTCAAGGTTAATGGAAAGACAGAGGAAATCTTGGATTTTCCCAGTAGATTAGAACTTAAATACTTTGGAATGTTTTATTTTCCTCCAATAATTGTGATGATCTCACTTTTCACCTTCCTTCCCAGGGTCTGCCCCCACCCATTCTCATAGTCCCTTTGTCCATATCTGTTATAAGGTACTACTATAGAAATGACTTACTTGCCCTGTCCATCCCCTGCAATTTGTGGGCCAGATTTGTTTTTCTTTCCTGTTGTCATTGAGCACCTTTCACCTTAAGCAACCCTTTCTTCCATTACATTCCTCTGCTTTCTGGATGTAAGGAAGTGCTCGTTTCCAGATTCTTTGGTGCTGCCTAACCCCATCTCCTGGCTTTCACCTTCTAAAAGGTGGTTCAGTCTAGAACTAGGTGATGGGTCCCTGTATACCATAGGTATAGATATGGAACTCAGCATGACCAGAAAGCCAAAAGATCATTGGGTCTATCAGGCAGAACCTCCATTCTCTGAGGCAAGAACTACTGACAGCCATTCATGGATAGGCCTTTCAATGGGCTTCATGGGAGTCCATTAACTCCCTGCAATAATATGTAAATTGTGTCTATGTGCATTTTTATGGGGCTGATCAGACTAATCAATGACTTACTGAGTTTCCTGCTTATTGATGTTAGTCTTGATCTTTGTCTTATGGCCTAACCTTTTTCAAAGTAGCATTATAGAGTTTCCTCATTCCAATTCTTCATAAAATAAGTGTGATTAGCCTCCTGTTACAGAGGCTCAGAGGAGCTAAATGAAGTATACTTTGTTGTAGAGTGTCTGCCACACATTGTAGGTGCTCAATAGTTATCAGCCAACTATTAAGTGGCATAGCTGACAATAGAATCCAAATCTCCTGATTCCTATTCTAATCTTCTTTCCACTCACCTTATAAGCAAGGTCTCATGAGTTAAAGGAGAAGCCTATAAATGACAGTCCTCTCAGGCTCATGATGAATGAAATGCAAGCATTAGACAACCTGGAGGAACTCTTACCCACTCCAGACTCTTCTTGGAACTACTGGGGACTACAAACTTTTTGAGGGCAC